CCCCGCCGCCCCGGCGGGGGGGGGCGCCAGGACCCCTGGCCGGGGCGGGGGAGGCAGGGCTGGCAGGCAGAGCTGGGCACTCACCCCGAGTCGCTCGTCGCTGTAGCCTCCGCGCGGGCCGGGCCGGACTCTGCACTGCGCTTCCCGCCGCGACGCCCACGCAGCTCACTCCTTCCCCGCGGGCGGGGCCGACGGGGCGGGGCCAGGGACGCCCCGCCCCTCCCGGAGCTCGGGAGCCCGCGGGGGAGGCAGGGCCCGGGCCGGGACCTTGCGGACCGGTCCCCGCCAGCGGCTGGGAGACCATCCAGGGCCGTCGGGCGCTTAATCCGGGCGACCGGGACTGGAGTCTGGAGCGGGGATAAGTGAGCAGGGAGGCGCCGAGCTCCGGGCTGGGGGAGCTCCTACCTAGAGGGCTCGCTGGGCCCATGACTGATGAGACCCCAGCACACTCAGACTAGCCTGGGGTGCAGGACCCGCGTCTCCCCGGAACGCTCCCCCACCTCCGAGAGCCCCTCGCTCGTAGGTGAAGTGGCACCTAAACCCTGTGGTACTTAAACACCTTCCTGCCTGATAGGAAATAGGGTCTGGAGCCCAGGACTCTGTGCCTTTGGGTGGGTTGCTGCCCCTCTCTGGGCCTTTTTCTTCAATGACAGCAGGACATTGAGGGCCAGGCCATGTTGTGTTGTTCTGCTCAGGGTCCCACACCCTGCAGCCGGGGGTGGGGGGAGGGGGGGTCCCGGTGACCTCACTACTGATCAGCTCCATGTGGTTCATCAGGTCCTGGGGCCTGAAAAGAGACTCAGGAGCATCCAGCTGCCTGCACTTTGGCAGGCCTGGACCCTACCCACTGGGGACCAGAGGGGTGAGGGGCCCCTCAGCTCTGGTTATCCTTTAGCCCCATGCAGTGAGCAAGAGCCTCTGAGGGGTGGACAAATGGAGCCCCAGAGCCAGGCTCAGAAACTGTCACAGCCAAAGTCAGTATCCTCAGAAATTTGGGGAACATGTGCTTGGGTGGGCGTCATAGGTCTGTTCTGATGACAGGACCTCTATACAACCAAACAGCATCGGAGGGGGCCCTCAAGTCATTACTTCACAGTGTGGGGTGAACGGGACTCTATGGTGGTTACAGGGTGGTGTATAGCTCCGCTCCTGAAGCCTTAGACGCTGTCAGTAATGAAAGAACCAAGTTACGAACTGGATATAGTCTGACCCGGTTAATAAAAATATTCTATGTCTGTGCACAAATATAGGTTCTATGCCAATGACCTAACAGCGGTTGTGTCTACAAACAGCTAAATTAGAGGTGATTGAGATTTCTAAGCCCGGCTCATTTTTGGAAAGAGCTCCTATCTCCAGCATCCACCAGGACTAGCAGTGGCCTGGATGCACGGACATTTCCTGGGCTTGTCTTCCCTTCGGTTCCTGCAGTAACTTCTAACACGAGTGCCACAAGCTATGGGGGCCCTAAAGCCTTGGCCAGTGGTGCGGCCCAAGCGGGGACTGAGCCACTTCTGTAAGGAAGGTGGCAAAGCCTGGCCTGGGAAGTAGGCCTGGGTGCCAGCAGGTGATCGGATGAAAGGGGCTCCCTGGGAATGGGCGGGTAAAAGGCTGGGTTTCTTCGCTGCAGGCCTTCTTAGAGCCTTGCATGTCTAAGATGCAGTGCCTGCCTGAGGGCAGAGGGCACTTGGGGCATTTCCTACTTACTGGTCCACAGCACACCCTCCCGTCTTCTTTCCAAGACACATCTTGGGGGATTAGTGTTTTTTTAAAAAGTGCTTTTGAAGGTGATAAGGGAGGGACTCAGGGTCTCAGACCCGAGCACATGCTGTGACTCTGAGCAAGTCATCTCACCCTCTTAGCTGGCTTCTCAATGCTAAGAATGAGCAAGACCCTTTCACAGTGCTCAGCACGAAGTTCAAGGGGCCATTTTGGTTATGATATTGGCACTGGGCTTGCATGTAGCCCCAGGGGAACCACACTGCTTTGCTGGAATTGCAAAGCAGTCGTGAGGACAAAAGCCAAGCTGTGAGTCAGGGGACTGGTTGGGGAACTTGAGGGGGAAAGGGGAAGTGGCTGGAAGCAAGGCCAGCTCAGGGGCAGCAGTGTCTGTGTCACTCACCCCTCGTGTCTATCACCCCCAGAGCAGGCTTCCCCCTACCCAACAAGGATGCCTTGGCCTGAGTTGCTGCCACTTGATGTTCTTCAGCCTGAGACCTTGGGAGGCTCCAAGTCCTGAGAATCTTAGTTGTGGGTGGCCCTCAGGAGAGGCAGGCCCAGGCCCCTGCCCTTAGACACCCAGAACCATGGATGCCATGCCTCGGGGAAGATGCGCAGGAAGATGTGGGCAACAGTGACGCTGTGGGTTGGGCCCAGCTGTGAAAAGGGCCCAATGGGTCCCATGGAGTCACATGGGAAGGCTGGACCACTCTGCTGGACTGGCAAGGGTTGTGGACAGCAGGAACCCACTGAGAACGTGGCTGGTGGACCACGACCCATCCAGCTGGGGCAATCCACAGGCCTCAGGCACCCTGGAGTGCCCAATTCAAGACAGGAGGCAGTGGGGGGGTCAGAGCTTTTATTGGGCAGCAGGGGCTGCGGGGCCAAGCCAAGCGGGCAGGTCGTCACCGGTAGAGGTAGTCGGCCTGGATGTTGGCGGCAATCTCGGCCTCCCACTTGTCCCCATTGTTGAGCAGCTTTTCCTTGTTGTACAGCAGCTCCTCATGTGTCTCCGTGGAGAACTCAAAGTTGGGGCCCTGCAGCAGGGAGCGAGGTGGAGGGATGGCTGTGTCAGGCCCCTGCAAGGAGCCTCTACTCCAGCCTCCCCCACCCCGGGGCCCACTCACCTCGACGATGGCATCCACAGGGCAAGCCTCCTGGCAAAAGCCGCAGTAGATGCACTTGGTCATGTCAATGTCGTAGCGGGTGGTCCTGCGGCTGCCATCGGCCCTCGGCTCAGCCTCGATAGTGATAGCCTGGGGGGAGTGGCCACCAGGCACTGCCACACTGCCCAGCCACGTCCCGGCCCCTGGGTGTACCCTTCTCTGCTCATTCTAACCCCCGGTGTCTGCACGGATGCCCTCACCCCCTCAGATGCCTGACTCCTCCCGAGGCCACCCCTTGCTTCTGCCACATCGGTCTTTCAGTGTCCTTCTCAGCACTTGCCCCAGCTGACAATCTTCTCGTCTGTTAGTTAGCTGCTGGTATCTCCTGCCCAGGAACATAATTCCCACGAGGGCGGGCCGTTACCCGAGGAGTCTCACCCTGTAGTAAGTGCTCCATTGCTGTCTATTGTGTGCTGAACCCTCTGACTTAGGTCTAATTATCCCCAACTGACGGATGAGGAAACAGGCTCAGAGAGGTTGAGGGGCTTCCCGAAGCCACACAGCAAACGAGGGGCAGAGCCCAGACTTGAAGGAATGTCCTTCACTCTCAGTTCCTGGGTACAGCCTTGTGCCAGCTGGCAGAGGAATGGCCTGGGGCCCCCCACAGCCAGGAGGACCTTCAGAAGTGCTTGACAATAACCCTCATTAGCCCCCCCAGCCTAGGAGTATAATGCCCACTACTCACAGTGGGGCCTTTGGCTAGCAGCCTCATCTTTCTGTGCCTATAAAACTGGGGATAATAATCTCTACCTCGCAGAGCCATTGTAAAGATTAAGTGAGATAATGTAAGTCAGGAGATTAGCACAGTGCTTTTTTGGTCTGTGACAGCACTCACTACCTGGAAGCCATGACTACTGTTGTTTCGGGACTCTCCTATGTGCTCCTGGTCGGTGGCTTGAGCGGAGACATCAAGGCCACAGACCAGAGGACCTGGGAGTGGTCCAGGGGACTAGGTTAAACTTGAACAGGAGCCGCCCTAAGTCCCGGAAGGAATACCACCAGGAAGGGGTCGAACTTGCTGGGGTTCTTGCTGGGCACATCATGGGGCTGGACCAGGTGCATGTGGCTGCACCTTCCTGCTTCTGCACCAACAGACCCTGGCTCTGGGGACCTGTGCAAGATCCACTAACAGAACCAAAGGCCAGGCTCAGAAGAGCAATAATCAGGGATTGGGGGAACCCTCGGCTGTGGCATGTGTGTCCTGGGGCCAGCCTGTGACAGGCACACAGGCAGGGCTCCAGGGAAAAGAAGACACCCTTAGGTGCAACCCATGGCTTACAGGCCCAGGTTCCACGTCCCTGACCAGACCCCCAAGGGCAGGATCCACACGTGTCACATGGTCCGCTCAGTGCTGGAATCTGTACTCAGCTGGCTCACTGACTCAGAACACCCCAGCAACAAGGCCTTATCATTCCTGTTCACAGTGGGGGGAAGAAGCTCAGAGAGGGAAAGGGGCTTTCCTGGGGACACACATCACACAGGTAGCCAGAGTCGGGCCAGGGCTGCCTGGCCTCTCTCCCCCAGTGGCAGGGGCTAAGGTGGCAGCCAGGTGGGGCAGGGGCTCACCTGGGCAGGGCAGATGGCCTCGCACAGCTTGCAGGCGATGCAGCGCTCCTCCCCAGATGGGTAACGGCGCAGTGCGTGCTCCCCGCGGAAGCGCGGGCTCAGTGGGCCCTTCTCAAATGGGTAGTTGATGGTGGCTGGCTCCCGGAACATGTAGCTCAGGGTCATGCCCAGGCCTGTGGGCAGCATGGGCATGGTGGATGGGGCACCCTCCTCCCCGACACATCCGTGGCCCCCCATCCCCAGTCTGCCCTGTCCCCTGATCCCCAGGACCCACCTCGGATGAGCTCGGTCCACAGCAGGGTCCGAGCTGCCCCATCGGTCACTGACCGCATGTCCATCACCGGCTCCTGCATGTTCACATACTCTGCAGGGAGGCGGGCGGAGAGACCATGGCAGGAGGAATCCAGCTCAGGGAGATGAGGCTGTCCTCACCTCCATGCCCAACAGCTGCACTCCCTGGGGGGTTTGCTCATCCACCAACACTTTCCCAGCCTCGGCGAGGGCCTGTGAGGCCAGCCTCTGGCACTGGGGGCCATTCAAGCAGGGCTTTAAAGAGGAGTCGACGGCGGCAGGTGAGGGGTTTGGGCCCTTACCTTCACCAGGGGACCTGAAGAGGTGCAGGCACCCAAGGTCCACACCTGGCACACCTGCCCATCACACCCAGTGGAGCTGAGGTCACACCTGCTAACCTCGACAACAATGGATTCTGCCCCCATGATCACATTCAATTTCAATCATCACCCTCATTTTAAGAGTGGAAACTGAGGCTCAGAGAAGGCAGCCTCTGACAAAGCCAAGATTAGAACCCAGATCTCCTCCCCCACCTCTGACAGGACCAGGGAAGCCTGAAGCCATAGGCCGCTCTGCTACTCACTATAGGTGGCTGCCACTGCACTGCTGTGGAGGCTCCGGCCACCGGGATGTCCTGCAAGGAGAGGGGTGATGCTCTGTGGCCCTGACCTCATGCTGGGAGACTGGATTCCCCCGCCCCCAGGAAAGGATCCCTGTTCCTACCTGCACATGCAGCCTGGGCCTGGGCCAGGGCCCGCAGCAGCAAGGGTGTGGTCAGGCAGCGCATCTGGGGGCATAAAAAGGGAGGGAGGCCTGGGGTGTGCCCAAGATCCGTCCTCCCCAGAAAGCTGGCAATGCAGCTCTGAAGCTCAACCCCAGGCCCCCGTGTCATCTTGTGCCCTACTCACACCCCATACATGGCAGAACACCTCCCAACCCCTCAACCTGACCGAGCTCAACTGTGAGTTCCTGTGGACCCCAAGTTCTAACTATCTCGCCTAAGAAACTTTTAAAATCTATCCCTCTCTTCCCTCCCTTCCCAGAGCTCCTGCCTCCTAGCTCCCTCCCCCATAGAGAACTAACTTTGTGCCAGGCAAAGGGGTGCAAGGGGTCACATGTACTGCCCTCTTGTCCTTACAAGGACCTTACAAGGAAGGCCCACATGAGAAGCTGCAGCTCAGTTTCTTAAGGGCCCTGCCCAAAGTCACACATTAGACGGGTGGACGCAGAATTCAAACGCAGGCCTCCGCTGCTGTAAACTCTTAAAAGCTTAAATAATCCCCAGGATCAAATTCCTTTCCCCAGCTTCAAGGTCCTCCTGGAACTGTCCCCTAGCCTGCCGAGTGACCTTGAGCAGGTGACGTCACCTGGCCTCAGTCTTCTCACCTGTGAAATGGGGGTGAGGGGGTGGTCATGAGAATTAAGAGAGTTCGTATATGCCAAGGGTGAGCCCAGAGCCTGAAACTTAGCTGGACAGAGCTCAAAAGTGCCCCTTCCGTGACCTGCAATCTCTAGCGGCCCCACTTCTTTGGACCACTGACTTCAGTCCCAAGCACCCAAGCCAGCACCCTCTGCGACCTTCCCCGTGACCTCTGACCCCACGGGCGCCAAAGGTGCCCAGCTGGGGGCGCATGCGCCCTGAGGTGCCGGCGTCCCGGTCATCCCGCTACACGCTAAAGGACACAGAGGCCGCGGGTCCTGAGCGGGCTGAGATGAAGCCCGGGCGCAGAGCTGGTGGAGCTAACAGGGACACTATGCTCGCCCCCGACGCCGCGCTGCCCAGGCCCGGCCTCCACGGCCGAGTCCTGAACGCCCACCTTGCGGTGCCGCAGCTCCTTCCCTGGCCGAGCGGGCCGGACAGCCGAGAGGGCCGGACAGCCGAGAGGGCCGGACAGCCGAGAGGCGGAGCCTACACTCGGGGGCGCTGCCATTGGGCCGACTGTCTTCCTCATGCTGTGGCCTGATTGGCCAATGGCAATGCTGAGGAGGCGGGATCCAGCAAGATCTTCCCTCTCATTGGCTAAGAGAGAGCCGGCGCTTGAAGTTTTGTGGGGCGTCGCCATGTTGCTTTGGAGGGGCCAATAAGAAGGAACCCCGAGCCGCTGGAGGCGGGGCATCCGGGGCGTGGTTTAGGGAGCGGTTCCGGGTCGCCCTGGCGCCGTGGGAGGGCGGGGCGGACAGCGGTGACGACCGCGGGAACGCTGAGAATCACGGGCCGCAGCGACTCCGCGCGCAAACGCTGTGCCCGCGCGGCGTCTTCTCATTCTCGCGGCAGCCGCGTGCGGAGGAACTATCGTTATCACTGTGCGGAGGCGTTGAGTGACTCCCCCCGCCCTGGAGCGGCGGGGTGCGGCCGCCTGACCTGTGCCTGGATCTGTATGGCTCGGGGACCCCTCTCTCCACCCTCCTGGGTTTCCTCCCCGTGAATTCTGTGGCAGAGGGACCCGCGGCGGCAGTCTGCGTGTATTGTCAGGGGTGGTGGTCAGGGAAGGCTTCCTGGAGGAGGTGGTGTCTACGCTGACGGTGCGTCGGGATCGTGCCGGCCCGCAGTGGCACGTCCAGCGTGTGCAGGGCTCCTTCGGACAGAGGACACGCATGTTAGGAGAGGACAGGGACTGGCTGAGTGTGGGGTAGAGGGGCTTGGTGACCCGCGTCCCCAGAGGTGGGCAGAGCGTCCTAAGGACTGTTAGGGACATGGAACTTGTCGTCCTCAGAGAGACACACCGAGGAAGGACAAGGTCCGAGTGAGTTTTGGGAAGCTCAGCGGGTGCCCTGAGGAGGGGGGCCAGGCCTGCGGAGAAGGAGGTGAGCGGATAGTGGCCTGCACCAGGCCCTGGCCCTGCGTGTGGTGATTCGTGTGCAATCGGGGAAATCCCGTGGCGTTACAGAATCATCAGGATTTGCCCAAAGATGTGACTTGGGAGGTGAGAAAGGGTGTCAAACAGGAGACCTGGGGTTTTGGCTTTGGCGGCCGAGTGGCTGGGAGGCCCGGGAGGATGAGTCCAGTGTGTGGCATGGTGAGGGTAAGGTGTTCAGAGCCCCAAGGCCCAGACTGAGGGAAGGGAGAGGCTGCTGCAGGCATCGCAGCCTGATCTGGCAGGAGAGTGGGGAGGACTCTTGGAGCTGCAGTCAGTAACTCCCTGATTTAATCCTTGTAACGATCTCAGGAGGTGTAATTTTTAATCATCTCCATTGTGCAGATGGGAAAACTGAGGCTCAGAGAGGAATGGCCCAGGTCACAGTGGTTCCATGATGTCAGGGCCCCTCTGCTGCGTCCTCCACAGGAAGATGGGAGGCTCAGAGGTGCCCACATCTGCCCTCTAGCATGGGAGGGGGCGGGTCACTGCGCTGTTTCCCGTGCTCCCTCCCCTTGGCGCATCCTAGCTGGGGGAGGCTGAGGGTCAGGAAAGGGAAGCCCCGGGAGGGAGGGGGGCAAGCACTGGTGTGGGCTGAGCAGGCTGCTCTGTGGCCATGGCAGCTCTTTCCCTCCTGTGTCCTGGACCCCAGGCCACGTCCACCAGCTGCAGGTGGCGGCGGTGGCCTCAGACATGAGCCTGGGAGGGACGCCGATGGGCTCAGAGCAGCGTGCACCTGCAGCCGCGGGCCTCCATGGCCACCAGCAGCACCCTCAGGTTGCGCGGCGAGTAGGGCGGGTAGCGGAGGTCGTTGATCTTCTCCATCCCGGGGCTGCGCAGCAGGCAGGCGCGGTGGTGGGAGAACGTGTCAAAGGAGAACTTGCCGTGGTACTTGCCCATCCCGCTGGCACCTGTACAGTGGCACAGAACACAGGTGGTCAGGCCCCCAGGGCCAGCTGAGGGGATGTCAGGCAGACCTGGGCTCTGCCAGTCACACACAGTGGGACTTCAGTGGGTTGCTTAACTCCTCTGAGCTGCAGTTTCCCACCTGTCCAGTGGGCTAATCATTAAGCACTGTGGGTAGGGGTTTGGTCCTGAGCCTGGCACCAGCACCAGCTCAGTAAATGTTGGGGACACCAGGTGCCAGGCAAGACGTGCAGACAGTGGTCAAAGGTGTGGATTCCAGAGCTAGATTGACTGGGCTTGAATCCTGGCTCTGCTACAAACTAGCTGTGTCATCTAGGGCAACAGACTGTGCCTCGATCTCCTCTGTGACATGGGGTGACAGTGGCACCCACCACCTAGGGCTGCAGCAGGTATTAAGGGACACAGTGTATGCTGTGTCGTTGTGTGTTCTCCTCAGTGTCTAGATCGGAGGCAGACAAGGACCCAGGCCAGGGAAGTCCAGGGGACACAGCCTGAGTGGAGTGAGGGCATAATCAGGGAGGGCTTCCTGGAGTGAGTGAGGAGTGTGTAGTTGACCGAAGCTGAGGGTAGGTGGGGGAAAGAGGGGCCCAGGGTTGGGGACAAGTGGTAGCCTTACAGGTGGGTGACACCAGGTGTGTTAGAGACCTGGACAGAGCTCAGTGTAGCTGGAGTAGCAGGCAGGGAAGCAGGGGGCTGGAGAGAAGGTGAAGCAGGATCCCATGGGCAGGCCAGGAAGGGCCAACCTCAAGACGCTGTGAGTCAGGGGCTGGGAGCTGTGGGGGTTGTCCTCAGATTTGCCCGCAGACAGACCCCACTTTTCCCTGGGGCGGAGGAGGTGGGCTGAGGAGGGCTAGGGCTGGAGAGGGCTAGCTAGGTGGGGTCTGGTGCAGCGACCCAGGTGCACTGCCGTGGCGTCAGCTCTCCACCTGCCGCGTGCTCCTGTGGCACAGGTGCCACCAGGGGCAGTTTGCCATTAGCACATATTTATTAAACACCTTTAGGTGTGCTGTTGTGAGCACTTGGGGTATATCAGTGGACAAGACAGACAAAGAGCTGTGCCCTTGAGGAGCAGACACGTTGGCAGAGTAGACAGGCCAGGCCTGCAATAAACAAGTAAATTATGTAGTAGGCTGGACTGTGATGAGTGCTATGGGAAAAAGAAAAAGTAGAGCAAAAGAATGGGGGGGGCGTGAGTTGAACAGGTGCTGCTTGTGGACGGAGGGACCTCACATCCCCTGCTCTGGCCCTGCCATGTCGCCAAGGAGGAAGTGGGCTCAGCAAGGGGAAGTAGCTGCCCCAGGTCACACAGCCTGCCGGGGAGTTGCTGTGACCAGCTCCGAGGTTTCCCAACTTGGAGGCCAGGACTTTGCAGCTGTATCGGGGCATCTGCACTCTCCCTCGGGTGGGGGAGTCACAACAGCTGTGGCAGCAGCTGCGTGAGGTGGCGAGGTTCGCAGGGGACATGGCGAGGGGGCTGGGGGAGCAGCCGTGCCACGGAGCAGAGAGAACACAGAGGCACTGTGTGTGCTGACGGGCAGACACCATGTTTTGCTGTTGGGGACAGAAGCAAGTAGCCCTACAGTGGACAATGTGATCACAGTTGTGTTAAAAACACCAAAATGGTGTATCTGTGGGCCCGCCTACATATGTAAGTGTGGAGACAGGTCTAGAAGGTTCCACTTCAGAGCACGGGGAGGGGAGCAAGGTGGAGGCACTGGGACGTGACCGGTAAAGAGGGGCCCCCTTGCCTGTCCCTGTAGACCAAGGGTGGGCTTGAATGTTTTATGGTGAGAATGTGTTCAAGTGTCACTTGCGATTCAATCTGAGGATGGTGACAGAAGGGTAGAGCTCTGCCAGCACCTACCCACTCCTCCAAAAGGCAGGCTGGTGAGGGTCAAGTGCATGAAGCCGTCATTGCCGCAGAAGCCCCCGCTGCTGGTGCGGGCCAGTACCTGTTCCACCACCTGGGAGAGGGCAGAAAGTGCACAAGACTGTTACCGACCGGCCGGACCCCTCAGGGCCGAGGACCTGTTCTGGGCTGAACTCGGTCACCCCGCTTTTGTTTCAGAAAGGGTCTGAGGCCACTGTTTTAGCTGAAGGTGGTGTGGTGGGACAGGCGGGCTGTGTGGTTGTGTGGCAGCATCTGCTCATGTGTGGCCTGTGCAGGGTGCTGGGGACACACTTTCAGGCCTGAGGGGGAGACAGACCGAGAGTCAACTGGGGCCATGGAGGATGCAGTGACAGCAGTGCCAGGTTGTCAGGGAAGCATCCCAGGGGAGGGATGTGGGGTACCTGCCAAGTCGTTCAGGCAGAGTGGAGGCCCAGGGACAGGGAAGCCAAGGAGCTCATGTGGCGTGAGCCCAGGGGACACATAAAGAAAGACCTGATGATGGGCCAGATTTGTAGTTTAGAACCATGAGCTTGGCCCTTGTTTGACATAATGAAGGATCTTCCTCTTCAATCTAGGCTTACTTAAAAAATGAAAGGAAAAGGTGGGTAGACACTAAATAGTCACTGCACAACGATTTCACTATATCTAGTTCCCATCAGTGTGGCTCTAAGACAACGGCTGGGTCAGGGCTTGTCTGAGGGGGGGCAGAGTGGACCCCACACCAGTGGATTCAGATGTCGTTTCATTGCATCAAAACCAGCTTTACCAGCAACAACAGCTGTAGAAGATGGAGCAGTAAGCATTAGAGTGCTCTCGAGCAAAGAGGGCAGGTCACATTTATGTGACATGTGTCCTACATGTGACTGTGTGTCCTAGGACCGGTGCTGGGCAGTCAGAGAAGCTTGAAAGCCACTGTGCCAGATAACCCCCCTGCTAAAACACCTATGTAGTGTTTTCTCAAGTTAGAGTATCCAGAGAAACTAGGGCTCCTTGGAGGAAGGGCTGGTTCTAGAGTTGGGGCAGGGAAATTACAAACTGAGCCTGGAGCTTCTTGTAGAACCAGGAGGAAGGAAGGGGTCAAAGCACAAAGGCTAGGGCATGTCACAGGAACACTGGCGCACCAGCACCCTAGCCTGGAACCCATCATGTGGGGCTGGATTATAGCCAATAGACTCACATAAATATACATGAGTCCATACTGATCTCAGCAAATAATTCAAGAGACTAATCTTAGCAGAATTCCAGAAAGTATATGTAGATATCCCCCCTTCAGCAGATAGAGCTTCATTACTCCCTCTCCTGTTGGGGGTGGGCTAGACTTAGAGATTGCTTCCAGCAAGTAAAGAAAGGAGCAATAGTAACTTCACAGTGGGGACCCTGCAGCCACCGCCTTGACCGCATGCAGAAGGCAACCTCTCCAGCGACATGTGGGCCTCGCGTACCCCCGACACAATGTGAAGAGACTGGTCCTGGCCTCTGTGGTATTCTCTCCAAAGAGCCAGAACCCTACCTAATCATGAGAAAAACACCAGACAACTTGAGATCAGGGACGTTCTACAGGAGACCTAGCCAGCACTCTTCAAGCTGAGAAGCTTCGTTCTTGCAACATGGGACCCTGGCTTGGATCCCGGAGCAGAAAGAGGGCATTAAGGGAAAAACTGGTGAAATCTGAAGAAAGTATATAGTGTACTGATGTCACTTTCTCAGTTTTGACCAATGTAAGGGCCCTTTAATGGGGGACACGGGATCTCTGTACCATCTTCGCAACTTTTCTGTAAATCTAAAGTTATTCTCAAATAAAAAGTTTATTAAAAAAAACATTAGACAGGGAGGGAATCTATTGAGAGTAGGGTGGAGGGGGCCTGAGGAGGGTGTGTGGGCACTGTGGGTGCCTCTCAGTGTGTCCTAAGCTGAGGCACCTTGGGCCTCTTAGGCTGGCCACACAGGTGTCAAAAGGGATTGGGGTAGCCAGGGATCCTTCTCAGGCCTGCATGTTCTGGTCATTCCCCAGCACGTGCCATGTGCCTTCAATGATCCAGGCACTGAGCAGGGTCACCGCATCCAGATGTGTAAGGAAGAAGGAAGGCAGGGGCTGACCTAGAGGGGACACGGCCCTGGAGAAGACCCCAAGGGGCCGCCCACTGAAGGCCCAGAGGAGTGTGGTGGGGGTTGGGGAGAGGGCAGGGACGGAGCCAAGAGGGACACCATCCCTGAAGTCCTGTCCCCTCTGCTGCCACCACTCCCACTGCCCACTGCTGGCACCTGCCCCCACCATGGCCCAGCGCGGCCATGCCCACCTGGCTGCTGTTGGAGAAGGCGTACAGGGCCAGGGGCTTCTCCCGCCGCTTGATGAAGTCGATGGCCTCATCCAGGCTCCTCACGTTCACGATGGGCAGGATGGGCCCAAAGATCTCCTCCTGCATCACCAGCTCCGTCTCCTGCACGTCCACCAGCACCGTGGGAGCTGCAGGGCACAGGGGACGCTCAGCACCAAGGCCGCAGATGGAACACACCCCCCAGGGTAGGGCGCTTGGGCAGGGCCAAGGACCCAGGGCTCTAGGCCAGGGGGTCCCAAACCTGACCTCCCAGGACTCCAGGCTTCGGAGATGTTACAGGGAAGAAAGTCTCCCCACAGTCCCAGGCAGGGACCATAAGGGCTTCCCCAGACTGCACGGGGCCTGCGGACCCCAGATAATTCCCCAACCTTGGTCTCGGTCAGGGTGTCGGGATCTTAGAGTCCGAGGTCACACCATCCCAGAATGTTGGAGCCACAGCGTCACCCTGAGCTGCTGAGCCATTCAGACCCAGTAGACTGGGAGGCTCAGGACGGGGCCATTGAAGTTTGCAACCTGAGATCCTGGGCTCCTAGAATCTGGGGTCAGGACCTCACGGAGCAGGACATGGTGGGACGGAAGTTTGGAGTCTCAGCACTCTGGACCCTAGAACCTGGGGTCAGAGCTTAGCAAATCCAGAGCTTGTGGGACCAGAGTTTGGAGTCAAGGAGTCACAAGCTCAGGACCACAGCGACGTGGAGCGTCAGCGTCCTGGAATTGTGCCGCTGGGAACCGTGGACCCGGGCTGGGCTCTAGCGGCGGGGTGGTGGTTGCGGGTGGGGGCCCAGACTCGGGCCGGCTGTGGCCCCTCTAGCGTGGAAGGGCCTTATCCCTGGGGGAGCTGTGGCAGGGAGAGTGGGACTCACCGATGTAGAGGTCACTCTCGTCACTCTGGCCACCGATGGCCACACGGCCACAGCCCAGCAGTCCCTGCAGCCGCTGGAACTGTTTCTGGTTGATGATGCGGCCCAGGTATGGGGAGCTCCGGGGGTCGTCGCCATAGAAGCGGGTGATAGTGCTCTGCAGGGCGGGCAGCAGCCGCTCCTGCGTTTCGGGGCTGCACAGGATGTAGTCGGGGGCCACACAGGTCTGGCCGGCGTTGAAGTAGCGGAACAAGGCCACACGGTTGGCCACGGTCTGGGGGTCACAGTCGTCGTCCACGTAGCAGGGGTTCTTGCCCCCCAGCTCCAGGGTGACGGGTGTCAGGTGCTTGGTGGCAGCAGCCATGATGATCTTGCCCACGCGGGGGCTCCCTAGGGACACGGTGAGGAGACCCCCATCCTTAACAGGCCTGGCCGGATGGTCCAGGCACTTGACTCCTGCTCCACTTCTTTCCAGAGAGACCCTTCAGGGCTCCAATCCTGCCCTGCCTGGGATCTGCCTCCAGCCCTGCTGCCCAAGATCCAATCTCTCTGAGACCCTTAGAGTCTCAATTGTCATCCGGGTCATGCTCCCACCACTGGCCCTGGCCTTGTCCCTCATCTCTTCTCCCTTCACCCCACCCTGTTCTCTGCTGTCCCCCATGCCACACAACCCAGGACCCTGGCCAGGGCCCCAGATAATTCCCCAACCTTGGTCTCGGTCAGGGTGTCGGGATCTTAGAGTCCGAGGTCACACCATCCCAGAATGTTGGAGCCACAGTGTCACCCTGAGCTGCTGAGCCATTCAGACCCAGTAGACTGGGAGGCTCAGGACGGGGCCATTGAAGTTTGCAACCTGAGATCCTGGGCTCCTAGAATCTGGGGTCAGGACCTCACGGAGCAGGACATGGTGGGACGGAAGTTTGGAGTCTCAGCACTCTGGACCCTAGAACCTGGGGTCAGAGCTTAGCAAATCCAGAGCTTGTGGGACCAGAGTTTGGAGTCAAGGAGTCACAAGCTCAGGACCACAGCGACGTGGAGCGTCAACGTCCTGGAATTGTGCCGCTGGGAACCGTGGACCCGGGCTGGGCTCTAGCAGCGGGGCGGTGGTTGCGGGTGGGGGCCCAGACTCGGGCCGGCTGTGGCCCCTCCAGCGTGGAAGGGCCTTATCCCTGGGGGAGCTGTGGCAGGGAGAGTGGGACTCACCAATGTAGAGGTCACTCTCGTCGCTCTGGCCACCGATGGCCACACGGCCACAGCCCAGCAGTCCTTGCAGCCGCTGGAACTGTTTCTGGTTGATGATGCGGCCCAGGTATGGGGAGCTCTGGGGGTCGTCGCCATAGAAGCGGGTGATAGTGCTCTGCAGGGCGGGCAGCAGCCGCTCCTGCGTTTCGGGGCTGCACAGGATGTAGTCGGGGGCCACACAGGTCTGGCCGGCGTTGAAGTAGCGGAACAAGGCCACACGGTTGGCCACGGTCTGGGGGTCACAGTCGTCGTCCACGTAGCAGGGGTTCTTGCCCCCCAGCTCCAGGGTGACGGGTGTCAGGTGCTTGGCGGCAGCAGCCATGACGATCTTGCCCACGCGGGGACTCCCTTGGTGTGAAAAGAAACCCGAGTGGCCCTTCAGTCACCTGCACCAGGTGGGATGGCCTCAGTCTGGGGCCCCACTTTTCCTCTGAGAGATGGTTGCATTAGGTCAGAGCCAGCTCTCCCCTGGCCTTTCCTGCCACTCGCTGCCACCCATAGCCCGGGACTCTGCTCATCCCCACCCTGCACAGCCCCAGACGATGCTTGGCACACACAGCACCACAGGGCCCCGGCTCCCTCCTGAGCTGAGCCCCTCAGCTCCTGCCTTTGACCCTGGCTCACCTTGCAGGCGATTCTGTCTAACACGCCCCCACTGCACCCTCCCCGCCTCTCCATTCTTCTCTGGAACATTTGGTGACCCCTTATCGCCCAAGGCTGGAGTTCAGTGCTTAGCCTGGCTGACATTGTCTCCCTCTCTCTGACCTAAACCTGGCAGCTGGCCTCCCTCACCACCCCCGTCCCTCCCCTGTGACCCTTGGGCTCTAAGTGGACTGGCTGGAGCTGATGCCATGTGGCATCCACACATCCTGCCTGACTTGGCCTCACCTCTGCTCTGTGCTGCCCTCATGGGGCCTGACACCCCTCCTCCCCCACTCAGCCTCCTCTGCCCTAGAGCCCAGCTGGGTCTCAGGAACCCTTCCCCGGATGGGATGGTCCTAGTCCCCACAGGAGCCAAGGCTCACAGCCCAGGATCCACCTGTCACTTCCCTGATCTCATCCCTGCTCCCTCCTACCCACTCCTTCCCCTTGTTCCTGGGGTGTCGCCAGGGCCCCGCCCCCATAGTCTTTGCTCCCCACACTGCCCTGGCCCACTTGGCCAGGGTTTCACCCCACATCACCCCGTAATTCCCATCCTGTTCCCTGCTTGCTCTCTGCCCCATTGTCTTTCTGGTGCCTGCACTGTCGCAAGCCTCCAACAGTGTCTGGCATGTGGCATGCGCTCTCAGGAGGCATTCCAGGCTGGGGCATTGAGGGAAGGAGGGATGCTTCCCAGAGGTACATGCTGCAGTAAAGGACTTTGTACTTGACTTCATCCGTCCTCAGGACAGGCCTGTGATTTAAGGATTTTCCAGTTTTATGGAGAAGGAAACTGAGGTCTGAAGTCAGGAGGTGCGACAGAGTAGGTCCCAGCTGGGACTGTTGGCCTCCACGTGGGCTGATCCAGGACCTGGCCTGGATGCTGGCCTCCTTGGGTCTCCCTTGCTCTGCACCCTCATCCTGGGTGGCCAAGGCCCAGCACCCACCTGAAGCTGTGGGGCATGAGGTAGGAGGTGGGCTGGAGACCTCTCACCGCCTCCTGCCACTCCTCACATCCCGTGGGCATCTGCAGGAGGTGCTGTCCTTTTCCAGCATCTAAGGACCCTACCCCATTGCTCCCATCACCACCCCCTTCCCAGATGGGGGCAGGCAGGGCTTTTCCTGTGCTCGAGGCGTGGCCTAGAGGAGAGGGCAAGACTATCGTCTCCTGCTTTGACCACATGTGCAGCATGCAAGGGAAATTTCCTCTCTTCTAGAAACTTTGTCCTGGTCACTTGAAGCCAGATGGTGTCTGGGCCACATGGGCACATGCCTGCATGATGGCAGGTGACCTCTGGGATCAATTCTCACCAAGGGCTTGTGTGCAGATCCCAGCCTGGGCAGGGCACTGTGTCCCTTCATCACCCTGAGTCTCCAGCCTGCAGGAGGCTCTGTCTTGCCTGCAGGGAGTGCCGTGGGGACCAATGGGGTCTCATATAAGGCCCTGGGGGCAGTGGGGTAGTATATAAGGGCTTGGCACAGCAGAAACTCAGCAAGGGAAGATTCTGTGTGATTTGTGAGATTGCGGTTGGCAGAGCAGGCTGGGGCCCTGGACATGGGACTCTGTCCCTTCCTGAGGGGTCCTGAGAGGTCCAGCGCTGCTTCCAGCCTGGTCAAGAAGCAAGTGGGTCAGGGAGCCCCAAGGGCCTCTCCCAGCGCTGGCCCAGTCTGGGTCCCCTGGCTGGCGGGCTGCCTTGGTCCCTTCGGGACTCCCAAGGATAGGGATGAGACCTCTGAGGGAGGGGCTGGGCTCAGGCCTCCGCCCCTCCAGTCCCACCAGCCTCTCTCTGGCCTCACCTGTGAAGAAGATGTAGTCGAACTTGTGCTCCAGCAGCCGGCCCGTCTCCTGGGGCCCACCCAGCACCACAGCAAAGCAGCTCTGCAAGACGGGGCACATGAGGGTGCCCTCTGGAACCTCAGCTTGGAGAGCCCAGCGTGGCCTGGCCTGCCCTACCCAGACCCTGCTCCCCGCCTTTGCCTGGCCTGAGCCAGAGCTGCCAGGGCTGTGGGTAGGCTGGGTGGGGTGAGATGAGGGATGGGAGCCCCCAAGGGTGCTGGGCACAGGCAGTCCAACCTAGCAGGTGTGAGGTGGGGTCCGGCCATGGCTGGAGGGAGGGCTGAGGCTGGATGAGCAGGACTGACCAGACAGATACAGGACCCCCAGGGGACAGCTCACCCTCTCTGTCCCTCAGAGGGAAACTGAGGCTGAGAGGGGAGGTGACAGGATTGATGTTGGGACTTGGGTCTGACCGACAGGCCCGGCCATGCCAGGGCTGTCCAGCCCACAGGGCCCTGCCTGTCCCTGTTCCAGGTGCCCCACAACCCTGCTCACCTGGTCCAGGTATCGGGGCAGAACCTCGGCCAGGACCTTCTCAATGTTCTTGCTGATCTCCGATGGCTTCAGCACCACACAGTTCCCTGCAGGGCAGTGCAGTGGGGAGCTGAGAGAGGTAGCCCACTCCCAGACTCCACACACCTGTAGGGTGGATGCTGGCCTTGCCCATTTTCAGGTGAAGAACCTGGTTCAGAGAGGTGACATGACAGGCCCAAGGCCCACATCGCCTGGAGACAGTGGACCACGTGGAACCAGGCCTTCTTTGCCACCTGGTGCCAGTTCCCCCATGTCCTTCCTGGCCCCATGGGTGGTCCTGAGGCCTCAAGGCAGGGAAGGGCAGTGGGAAGGTGGAGGCTGGATCTCACCTGCGGCGAGGGCACCCACCAGGGGCACCAGTGTCAGGTTCAGGGGGTAGTTCCAGGGGGCGATGATGAGCACCAGGCCAAAGGGCTCCTTCCGGATGAAGGCTGAGTCCAGCTGTGTGGCCTGGGTCAGGAGCCGGGGGTGAGCCGTGAGGCGCCCAAGACCCCTCAGCAGCCACCCCCCATCCTACCCAGAGAGGCCACCAGGGAGAGCAAATAGTCCCTGACGCCCCCGCCTGCCCTGACCCCCAGGCCTGCTTACCAGGTTCTTGGGCACTCTCTCATCCTTCATCCAGGCCCGCAGGTTCCTGAGGGCCAAGTTAATCTCGCCCTGGCTGGTGGCGATCTCAGACACCTCGGACTCGAAGGCCGGCTGGGGGAGGGGCGGGACCCCCAGGATCAGCAGGTGGCCAGAGCGCTGGGGAGCACACAGCCTCCTCCAGGCAAGGCCTGCTGTCATTGACTCATTCATTCAATCATTCATTCATTCATTCATTCATTCATTCATTCATTCATTCCCTCCTTTCCTCTGGCTTCCTGTGTGCCAGTGCTGCTCCTGTGCTGGGAACCCAGCCATGACCAAAGCAGATGGAGAAACCTGCCCCCTGGGGCTAATGTTGCAGGGGACAGCCATCATGGCCGTGAGAACACTGATGGCTGCACTAGCACAGGACAGGTGCTATGGAAAAAGTGGCACAGGGAGAGGGCAGACACCGCTGGAGTGTGCGTGCGCGGGTGTGCACAGTGTGCTCGAGTGTGTGCACGGGTGTGCATGTTCACTCTAGTTTGTACAAGATGGGCTGTGCAGGCTCCTGGGTAAAGGGATATATGAGCAGTGATCCGGAGGAGGCAGCGAGGGCGGGCGGGCACCTGTAGACGCCTGGAAGCAGAATATTCTGGGCAGAGGTCCTGGCAGGTGCAAAGGCCCTAAGGTGGGCGCAGCTTGCTCTGTTACTGCTTAGCAAGGAGCAGAGTCGCCAAGGAGATGGAGCCAGGCAGCAGGGGGAGGACCACTGAGCAGAGCAGGGACAGGATCCGACTCAGGTTTTAACAGGACTGTCAGTGGGGCCTGCTGTGGCCCACTGTGTGGAGATTGGTCTGCAGGGGACACGAGGCACAGCCATCCCTGGGTAAATGCCATCAGCTCCCACAGCCCAGGGGTCAGGGGCCACCATCAGGTTTCCAGGACAGGAGTGAGAAGGAGACAAAAATCGTAGGGATACTGTCCTGATCTCCACCAGCTAATATGTGCCCCTCCTCCGCAGGAGAGACCCAGCCAGTGGCTGTGACTAGAGGCCAGGGCCAGGGTGGCTCCAGAGCCAGGCTGTCTCCCTGCCTGAGGTGTGTGCACTCCTGTGAACGAACCGGGGCAGGCCAGGGCCGGAGCTGAGCCTGAGACCGGGCCATGACTCTGGAGGACACCACATCCCCAGTGCTGCCTGGCTGTGCCTCCAGCTGCACCTGTGTCCACCCACGCTCCTGCACAGCCAGCCTTGTGGCCTGCCTACCGCACCTGGTTAAGTCATCTGGGGCCTGAGCCAGGTTTGGGCCAGTTTTCGGGACAGTCTGGACTCAGCTGAACACCACGACTTTGGAAGCGCCGGCTAGTTTGAGCCAGGTCCAACTCTGGCTCTGCTCTTCCTGGCTGTGTGCTCTTGGGCAAGAACGTTCCCTCTCTGAGTCCCCTCTGGGAGTAACTGGGCGTGACTGCCCCTACCAAGAAGGGCTGTCAGAGGTTAAATGAGAGAATTTATGCCGTGCTGGGTAGATGCTGCCTGCTGGGGGTGGGATAGCGGGCTGGCCAAGACCAGAGGGAGGGACTGGATTAAATTTTCTGGGTTGCTGCTCCCTTTGTGGGGCCCAGGCTCCTGGAGTGGGGATGGGAAGCCAGGAGGTGAAATCCGAGCCAAAGGGAGAAAAGGGACCAGACAGACAGTCTGGTCAGGTGTCACAGAGGTGGCCGGGCTGGGCCGGCAGGTAGACGGTGACAAAGGCTCAGTGGCGGGAGAGGAGTCTGTCCCCAGGGAGCCCAGCAGGCCAGGGGAGGATCTAGACACTGTGGCCTTTAGACAAGAGCAGGGGACATTTTGTCCAAAGAAGAGGTGACTGGGGGCAGCCCCTTGGACAGTGTCCTAGGTTCAGACAGAGGCCATGATGCCCACTGTACCCAGAGTGAAGCCCAAGTGCTCTGCAGCCTACAGGGCCCTACGTGGTGTGACCCCCCTCCCCAGACCTCACTTTTGGTCTCTCTCTGCCTCTCCCACCCACCTCCAGCCACGCCAGCAGCCCGCTGCTCCTCAAGCACAAACACACCCAGCACCTCCTGCCTCAGGGCCTTTGCACATGCTGCACCCGCTGCCGCTTCCCCAGCGTCCATGTGCATCTCTCCCTCTTCTCCTTCATGTCTCTGCTCTGATGCCCCCTTCTCAGAGAACCTTCCCTGACCCCCAGACATAAAACAGCACCTGATCCTGGCCCCTCACTCCCCCTTAACACTGGGAGTGTCCCCACTGCACTCATTAGGGCCCGACATGTGTGCAATGACTTGTTTACTGTTGTATTGTCTCCCCCCAGGAGGTTGGCTCCATAGGCATGGGGACTTTGTTTTATTCTACACTGTGTCCCTGGAGCCTGGAGCAGTACCTGGCACATAGTAGGTGCTCAGTACATAGTTGTTGTGTGAGTGTGGAAATGCTGGAGGGATGAACGCAGAAGAGCAGCTCGGGCCTGTGGGAGGAGCTGGGACTGATGGGCTTTTTGTTCCTTCATGCAGGATGCAGCGTCCCCATGACCTTTGTCCCAGCTACACCACCTCTGCGCCCCTTCTGCCCCTGGTGCACCCCCCACACCTCCTCCCCGCAGCCCACCTTGTGCAGGTCCTGCGCCAGCGCGTCCTGCAGAAGCTGCTTGTTGTCCTGCAGGAAGCGGCCCAGGCCCTCCAGCTGCGCAGCCCGGAAGGCAGCTGGCCGGGTCCGCCCCGTGTTGAAGGCCTCCCGCAGCCGCCGCAGTGTGTCCTCGAAGGGGTCCATCCTGCCGGATGGGACAGCATGGACCAGGCACCCTCCGGTGCCCTGGGGTCAGCGGCACCCCCAGCTCTGCCTGCACCCATGTGGGCTCCCAGACACCCCCACCTTATCCACACATGGGGACACACACGGGGACACACACGGGGACTCACTGGGATAACCCTACAGGGGCCAGGGCTGCCTGTGCCCCCTTGGTACCCCCATAAGACATACCTAGACACACACTGACAGTCCCACAGACCACTCTGCTCGGCCAGTGGGCCTCACGGAGGCTGTGGGACTGGGCGTTGGCTCGGGGACAGCTACTCCACGGCCCCCAAGGGTGGGCAGGCAGGCAGGCAGAGGGCCACACTTGTTTCTGCCATGTGCAAATGAGCCCCAAGCCATCACCCCAACCCACTGTGGTGCCCCTCCTGCCTGGCCTGAGTGAAGTAAACAGGAGGTTGATAAGTGAGGGACATTCTATCAACTGCCACCGTGGCCACCACTTTGGAGCATTCCAGACACAGAATTCTCCACCCTTTCCTGCCCCCCAGCCAGGCATGGCTCAGAGGCCTGGTGACCTCAGGCAGTGGCCTCTGCTCCCTGCGCCAGAGGGGAACAAATAACTCCCGGAGGCCTTGCTGCCCACCCGGCTTGGCTGCTGTGTTTGCAGGAGGTGACAGTGGGGGAGGGGGCGAGGGGTGAGG